CAGTTATGAAAGGTTTGTTATTGTGTTTTAGATATAGATAGTATTTGTAAAAGATATTTTAAAGATGAATATAATATAATTTTTATTATTATCTAATAAAGTTTCTACTTTGACCTTTCAAAAAAAAATAATTTTTATATTTTTATTTAGAATGTTTTAATCTTTTTAATAATATTTATATCATTATAGCAATATTATGAAATGCTTTATTTTGAAAACAGATCATAAATAAAAAATAAAAAATAAATGAATTGTATATTTAAAAATCTAATAATATATAATAAAAATAAGTATTAAAATTTATACTATGATAAAGTAGATGAAGATAATAATATAAAAAATATGATAGATGTTGAAATTCTATGTAGCATTGATTGAATAATGACAGATCTGAATTGGATAAATTCAAGAATCTGATATATTGCAACAACTAACTTTATTATAAGTATATAACAATTAGCTAAAGTTGCTGTACCAGATTCCAAAATATTGATACAAACTTTATAAAACCTCAAATTGATTTAATTTATCTAACATAATAAAAAATTTTTACTATGCAGTAGATTAAAGACTTCTGTATTTATAATCATATTCAGATATTCAAGAAAAATTTATATAATATTAATATATATATTAATTAATATTAATATAATAAAAACTATATACAAAGTATCAAATGTTAGATACATATTCAGTATTATGTGTTAAATGTTAAGACACGTCATCGAGAGTTATGTCACACATCAATTGTTCCGGCACATGCAAAATGATATGGCATATATAAGTTAAGACATTTTAGCGTATCGATCATATCTCAAGTTACGGCTATCGGGACATAAAAAAAAGTTACGTTCCTGATCATATTTTTGTATCTATAGTGATCAGGTTACGCGACATTTTTGTAGCACCACTAACCTACATCAAAAATAGAGGGTGGTAATAGTAATATTTAGAAAAACATTAGTGGTTTTAATTGAAATTAAAATTTGGCATTTTTTTATGAATGTATTTTAAACGGATGTAGAAAAAGAATGCAAATATAAGCATTTCAATGCTTAAACAAATATAATTGCTTAATATCTGTCAGATTAAATACAATTTATTTCTATTTAGAAAAGCTTCTTTTCAAAATATATTTGCTTAAATTTTTCTGCAATACATAAAAATCTTTTTAAAAATTAGTATAATAAATTATTTAATAGTTCATGTTTATGTTATAATTTGCTTGACAAATAAATTTAAAATTATAGGTATAATAAGAATTATATAATTTAGTGCTATGTCTAAACAATAGTGTCAATGACTTTTTATCTTGGCATAATAGTAGTAATGATTTTTACTTTATATTTTTTTAAGTTCGATATGAACCTGTTTGATAGACGGTCTTTCATTTAAATTGGATGACCAACATTTTTCATAAACATTAATATACTTTTTAGGTGTCCCTACTGTGGGCTTTTCTCTCTTATTTTGATAAATTTCATTTACGAGATTGATTAAATTTTTTTCATAGTTTGAGAATGGCTCATCATTACTAAATACTCTCCACAAAATAAATCCTAAACTGTAAATATCTGATTCTTTATCAGGCAGTTCTTTCGTATTCTTTAAAAGCCGTGGATCTTAATATGGGATCTTAACCTTCATAATATTTACAGATGAACTTCTATTGAATACTGAAAATATTATTGGGTTTGCTATAAGAGCTCGTTTATTGTCGATTAATATATTTTTTGAATGCTGTAATGTACGTGTATATGTAAGTTAAAAATAATAGTGTTCGCTAAAAACATTTTAAGGTGAGCTTACCAAATCTCCGTGAAGTTATTCCTTCATCATGCAAGTATTTTAATCCATTAACTATATCTTTTGCAATGTTCAATTTGTCTGCCGGTTCAATTTTTTGTGAAACTTGAATTAAGTACTCTTTTAAACTTCCGTCAGTTGAATGCTGCAATACTAGCATTTTTATATTATTTTCCAGATCTAAAGATACATTAATTAAGAACATAAATAATTAATTATTCGTCAACTATGGTGATTAATTACATAATTCTAAGTACTAATTGGATCTATCAAGATCCTGGAATATATATAGGTATGCAAGATTAATGTTTTAGTTGATAATATATATCTAGACTATAAATATTTCAAGATAAATATTTCAGGATCCTGATGATATTTATTTATAAAGCTACATTCTACGTGTATTATTTAAAATGTTTAAATGATAGCTATAAAAGCAAAAACATACCATGTGTTATCCCATAAAATTCTATTATATTATCGTGTTTTATTTCTTTTAACTGCCAATCAAAACTTTTTAGATCATTTAAATTTTTAACAAACGTGCTGTAAATTTTATGGATTTTACCTTCGAAAGTGTGTTGTCCTCCTTTAAATTGAGAGCAAATTGTAAGATTATTTAAAGTTTAATACGTAATAATTATGCGATTACTAAATTAGTAATACCTTCGAAAATCGATTTTCCTTTGGAAATAACAGTGCTACCTTTTTCTGATACACCGTCCAAATTGCATATTTTAAAATACCAAAATCTGACCTTTTTAACCATCTAGCGATCGAAAATTCATCATAAGGAATTTCTAGTTTATTTAAAGTGTAATTATCGATTTGCATTTGAGACTGTTTTATAATATTATATATTATTTCTTTTTTGATTTTCAGCTCTTAAACGATAATCTTTTATAAGTTATTCGCACACAACTTTTTATGCGAGAATTCGAATCAATAACTAAAGGTGCATTCACATTACTAAATAAACAAATATAATTCTTCTTAAAGCTCAATAAATAATATGGTAGCCGAAAAACATGCTTTTTTATATCGAAAATATTGTTTTATTATATTAATTTTTGCTTGATTATCCAATAAACAAAACGGTTTTAAACCTTTTTTTAGGTGCTAAATTTGATACAAAGTAATTGACACAAATAATTTTGGAATTAAAGCTAGTCATCTAAAATAATTTATTAATTACTAGGAAAACATGCGCTGTTGTAAATCCGGAGCGAATTAAAAAAATTGTCCAATCATTTTTATGACTAGTTACATGGACAAAATTCGGCTAGTATGAATCATGTGATATGGCATGATCACGTGGGCGGACAGACGGACAAAATTCGCGGGAAGTCTACTGACAGTGCTTAGGGACAGTGCAAAATCACGTGTTTAAGGCGTGATTGGCTATTTAGCGGTTAGGGGAGGGGATTCCGTTGACACGGGCGAAACGGCGAGTCAGTCGCTTGTCGATGGGGTATGTCGTGTAACCTACGAACGGCTTAGTCGATAAG